TATTATTGCATCCACCACGATGAATAACAACAACCTTTTCCTGGAATGAAATATTTTGGTCAGCTTTAAACTAATGGTTCTCAACATTGCAGTAGTGCAGTAATATCATCTTCCTGATACACTCATTGACTCTCGGCCTAATCGGATTTCATTTTAAAATAAGAAATCCTATAATATTGAATTCTTACCTTAAATCTTTACAATTCAGGAAAAAAACCCACTTGTTTCCAGTAGACAAGCTTTGAATGTTGCTATTAAAAGCATCCAGAGCTTCTTCAGATTCTGCCACTTCCAAGCAAATACCTAAATACTAAAGAAAAAACTCTTCTATTTAGAACAACACAACATTTTCCGAATCCAGCATATCGTTTCTAGATATGAGTGGGAATTTTGTGGTCGGTTTCGGGGCTATGTCTTGCCTATCGCTATTGAAGCAGCTAGTCATTTAACCCTCAGGTTCACAAGGGTGGGGGTCTGGAGGGGAGATTTTTAAAGTCTTTCCAAAATAGGAAACTTTTATAGTGGCTGTATTTCATTCCTTGAAACATTTTGATGTGTCGACTGTTTCATTATGCCATTTGATATTGTCATGACAACCGTGTTTTGACACGCAGGTCAAGCCGAACTGATCGCCTTTTTGACAGCATTTTTCATTTATTTATTTTTATTATTATTAGTAGTAGTTTTTTGTACTCCACCTGTATAATGTTGACTCAATTTTCCACCAATTTACTGCATTTTCTGACTTTCTTTAAAATAGAGAAATCCAAGATACACTTGACTTGGCATCGCACTTGACATCAAAGGGCGTGTATAAGCGAATATAAACAAATCTTCGTGACACGATAATAAAATTAGCTCACTGTGTCTGATCTCATCAGAGATCGATTCCGAGTTAACACGCTTTTGTGTTTCATGGCTCCTCAAAAGTACCAAACCAACGTAATTTCTTCCTTCTCGCCCTAAACCTCTAAACAACAGTAAGTCTCTTGTTTCCATTGCAAATATATCTGACCGATTTTCCAAAAACATGCCCGCTATTTTGGTGCAAAGTCTTTAACACGGTTTTCAT